GCATTGTACTAGATGATGAAAACATTTTTGCACGTACATTGTCTCTCCCCCCCCTTCAGTCTACTGCTGGCTATTCTTTGTATTCCTCCTTCAAATGTTTTGCGACAGCCACTAGTGGTTATCATAGGCAAGCGCATTACTTAACAAGAGTGAGCACCTAATGCAGTCCAAGCATCATCGCAGTATGGCGAGAACGCGACGCAGCTGCAGCGAAGTTTCTGCCAGCTATGCGAAATAATAATAAGGCAGCTTTTGCCAAGGATATGCAACAACATATAAAGAGGTTTTTTCGTACTTCTATGCCCTCAGTCAAAAATAATGTGACAAAGCCGCGCCGCGTCTGTCTCTATCGCTGCAGCTGTGTTGGGCCAATTATGCACCAAACTCAAAATTTAAAACTACTCACCTGACCAACACCAAATTGCTGTCCAGAAATCGCCGGTGACGCTCCTTGTTGTTGCCGTTGTTGATGGTACTGCTGCTGTTGTTGCCATCCACCCGGCCCTACTTGCGCGTACTGACCTCCGGGTCCACGGGGAGCACCTTGCGGTGGGCCACCATAATAACCCTGTTGGGGAGGACCACCTGGACCTCCTGGACCCATAGTTGAAGGCCAATTACTCTTAAATGACAAGTTTAATTTTACATTGTTCTTTTGACTACTGACATTTACACTCACATCAGGGGTTGGCTTCATTTTAATAAACGCAGCAAACAGATGCGGTGTCTTCTTCAATTCTTGGAACACCGTTGTTTTTTCTTCATCAGTTTTTGCCATTTTTAACCGGCTCATCACATGGGCCATGGCTGGATCTATCACAGCAGGATTCCCTTGTTGTTGTTGAGGTTGCTGCTGCTGTTGAGGTGGCATCGGCCCTCCACCGGGTTCTGTAAAAAGAACTGGCAATGTTTTGAACTTAAATCAACTCCGCGACATGTAAGAAGAATTTTAGCTGACAGAATAAAAGCATGAAAATTTAGCTGGATCTAATGCAATATACAAGT